CTTACAGCTGAGGAAACAGAGGCATAAGGAAGAGGAAATGACTACGGGTGATCATAGGCATCACAGTGGATCTGGGACTCCAGCCCACGCATCCTGGTGCTCAGTGATGGGCCTTCCTCAGGCACCAGAAACCAGCCCTTTCCTGCCTACTCCCTGACCTCTGGGAGAGAAGTCCCAGCACCTTACCCAGTGTCTCTTTCCTGGGTTTCCCATCTGGAGAGGCTGCCAGGCCAGCCAGATTTTGTCAGCGCTGAGTAGCCTGTCCTGGCATCCTGCCATGTCTGGTGAACCTCTTCCTTGTCTGAGGCAGCAGAGATGGAGCCCTCTTGTCCCTCAGTGCTGGGCACTAGGCAGGTCCCCGAGGGCTCTGGCTCTGCTGGAGCAGCAGTTCTAGCCCTGGCTGCACATCAGAATCTATTGATGAACTTTAAAAAGGATCAATGACCATGTCCCACCCTGGACCAGTTAAATCAGAATCTCTGAGAGTGAAGCCTGGGCACGAGTATTCTTTTAAAAAGTTCCCCAGGTGGTTCCAGTGTGCAGACTGGATTGAGAACCACTATGTGGAAGAATGATGCTGTGTGTGGCCTTGGGGAAGAGCTTGACCCCTGAATCCCCATGTTACTTCTCCATTGTCTGTGCCCATCATGCTTCATGGTATTGGGCAATGTACCTCTCTTCTTCCTCAGCTTTCTATCCTAAAATATGCTTTTATTCCTTTTTACATGCTACTCTGCTGATCTGATCTTTTTATAGTGTCTTGATCTCTTTCCTTTTATTCTGAGTTTCATTTATTTATTTATTCATCCAACATCCAACAAATGCCTGCTAGGGCAGGCAGTATGCTAGGTGCTGGGAACATAGCAAAGAACGAGACAGGCCAGGTCCCTTCCCTCATGGAGTGTGCTTACTCTCTGCTTACAGTCATTAAAAAGCTTGACCTGAAGCTGGGTGTGGTGGCGTGTGCCTGTAATCCCAGCTACTCAGGAAGCTGAGGCAGGAGGATTGCTTGAGGCCAGGAGTTTAAGGCTATAGCGTGCAATGATAATGCATGTGAGTAACTACTGCAGTCCAGCCTGGACAACAGAACAAGACCCTGTCTCAAAAAAAAAAAAAAAAAAAAAAGACAACCTTGACTTGAATCTACCCTTCTTCCTAAGACTCAGGGCCATTCGTAGACATTGCTTCTAGCTCCTAACACAAGGGAATTGGGTCTAGCTACATCTTTAACCAGAAGGAAAAACAAACCTGTTTTATTTTTCTCAAAGTCTAGGGATTTCTTTGTGGATTTATTACTCTCTAAAGTTGTGGTGGTTTTCAATTTTTTTTTTTTTTGACTGTGACCTACATTAAGAAAAATATATTGCATCACTACATGTAGCTGAAACAAAAGTTTTCCCGATACGTTACTTACCCTTGTTATATTGCAATGTCCTCAGATATTTTACATTCTGTTTCATTTTTTTAAATGGGCTGATCATTAACCAAATCAAATTGATGGGATAATAATGGGTTGTAAACCCCCAGTTTGGAGAAATACTTGTGGAAGGCCTGTACTGCTTTAATCCACATGGGCTCTGTGCCAGGAGCTTAGTCTAGCACCTCCCTGTGGATTCTTAGACAGCAGCGAATGCTCATTTTTTGAGATGGCGTCTCGCTCTGTTACCCAGGCTGGAGTGCAGTGGCATGATCTTGGCTCACTGCAAGCTCTGCCTCCTGGGTTCACGCCATTCTTATGCCTCAGCCTCTAGAGTAGCGGGGACTACAGGCACCCACCACCACACCTGGCTAATTTTTTGTATTTTTAGTAGAGACGGGGTTTCACTGTGTTGGCCAGGATGGTCTTGATGTCCTGACCTTGTGATCCACCCGCCTCGGCCTTCCAAAGTGCTGGGATTACAGGCGTGAGCCACCGCACCCGGCCTGAATGCTCAGCTTTTTCAGTGGCCAAGAAACCTCTGAGCAAGGTATGTGCTACCGTCCCTGAAAGATGCTAATTCAGGGGCTTGTGCCTTCCCAAAAGGAGCACCTGGTGATTATTGCTAAAATCTGAAATGGAGAATATTTCTTATCCCTTTTTATAGGACATGTCCTCTTAGGACATTTTCTAGCAAAAGTCAGAGAACAAAAGTTTCTGGACAAGTGGTGGAGCCTTTGACTTCAGACAATGACTTTCCCCTTGTTTTCATAGCTGCTACTAGACCACGTAGATAGCAGGTACCAGTTAAGCTGCCATACTTGTAAGGGTTCCAAGAGGCTGGGCAAGGTGGCTCATGCCTGTAAATGCAGCACTTTGGGAGGCCAAGGTGGGAGGACTGATTGAGCCCAGGAGATCAAGACCAGCCTGGGCAGTATAGTGAGACCTCATCTCTTATTTTTCAAAAAAATTTTTAAAAAGAGTGCCCAAGAACTATTCACAATAGCAAAGACTTGGAACCAACCCAAATGTCCATCAATGATGAAGAAAATGTGGCACAGATACACCATGGACTACTATGCAGCCATAAAAAAGGATGAATTCATGTCCTTTGTAGGGACACAGATGAAGCTGGAAACCATCATTCTCAGCAAACTATCACAAGGACAGAAAACCAAACACCGCATGTTCTCACTCATAGGTGGGAATTGAACAATGAGATCACTTGGGCACAGGGTGGGCAACATCACAGACGGGGGCCTGTCATGGGGTGGGGGGAGAGGGGAGGGATGGCATTAGGAGATATACCTAATGTAAATGACCCGTTAACAGGTGCAGCACACCAACATGGCACATGGACACGTATGTAACAAACCTGCACATTGTGCACATGTACCCTAGAACTTAAAGTATTAAAAAAAAAAGAAAAAAAAGGAGTGCCTGAGAAATGTTGCTTCCCCCACAGCTTCACAGTTGGTGAGGATTCCTTGATGCATGGATGGGACTCCGAGATTTATTCTACCTAAAAGGACATCCAGTCTCTCCTGTACCAAATGCCTTCCCAAAAATCTAAATGTTTTTAAGGCATTTCTGAATTTTTCTAAATGTGAAAGAGGTTAGAGGAAGGATGGTAACCCAGTTGGGCTGTGGTAGTCCTGGAGAGAAGCAGTTAGAGATGGAGCGAGTACCTGGAGCGTGGAACCAACTCACTTCTGCCCATGTGCCATGTCCTTCCCACCCCACCGCTAGCTGGCCTACACATGAGCGGGGACCTTGGCCTATTCAGCCCAGGCAAGTTCAGTGATGCTCCTCAAAGCTGCGGGTGGCGTAGAGCTGGGTGAACTCCTGACATCCTTAGTAGTGGGACAGCAGCTCTGGCTTCTCATTGAACTTGGGGGCAGTTTAGTGAAGTTGACAAGTGTCTACATGTCCAGGGGCATCTGTGCCCACTTGGCCCCCACAGACCTTGGCCTCGGGTGTATTTTCTTCTTCCTTTTCTGTGTGTCTGCATGTGCTTCCCTCTTCCAGGCTCTGGAACTAGCTGATGGCCAGCTGGACTAAGTGTATCAGTGTCCACACACTTCTGGCATGTCCCAATACCCCCCTACAGTACTGAGGCTTAGGTTAAGCCTTTGGCATTGGCTAAATCAGTGGTGACCCACAAGTCACACATTTTCTGAGCAGTTGAGAAAGGCAGACAATATCCTAAAACCAGAGATTCAGGAACAAAGGGCCACCCACTTCGTCTTCACTTTCTACTCAAGACAATAGAGGTTATAACTGTAATTTTTAAATTTTTTATTTAATTGAGATGGAATCTTGCTCTTGTCCAGGCTGGAGTGCAGTGGTGCAATCATAGCTCGCTGCAACCTTGAACTCTCGGACTCTCGCCTCAGCCTCCCAAGTAGCTGGGACTACAGGTGCATGCCACCATGCCTAGCTAATTTATGTTTAGTTTTTATAGAGATGTGGTTGCCCAGGCTGGTATTGAAACTGCTGGGTTCAAGTGATCCTCCTCCTTTAGCCTCCCAAAGTGCTGGGATCACAGGTGTGAGCCACTGTGCCTGGCTGTGACTTTTAAATATGAGAAGAGTGGGTCAGCCAGGAGATCAGGATCTGAGGTTGGGTCATGGGAACCAGCCCCAGAGTCTTAGCTAGACCTCCGAAGTCAGGATCCCAGCCTCACGCCCACAAGTGTGGCCAGAAAGTAAGGATAATTTAAATATATTTGTTCCTGTCAACCAAGGCAATTGTTTATTGATATTTGTGTAAAAAATTTAAATTCTACTCTCAAGGGTATTTGTCACTCAGGCTTTAAATGCCAGCCCTGTCTGCCCAGTTGGGACCCAGCCCAGCATTCCTGACTTAGTTTGCCCAAAGGAAACAGCTGATTTCGTCAAACTTGGTTCCCTCTCTGGCTTGTACCTCTGAATTCAATATGCAGACAACAAATCTACGGTGTGCACATCCGCCCAACACTACTGGCCACCCATGGGTTTGGAAATGGGGGGACCAGAAACAAACCTCTCTGTGTCATGCAAACCAGGGAACCTAGCAGAGCGGCTGAGACATGGGGGGAGCACGTTTCACGTTTGAAGGTAGCTTTATGGTTTACAGTTGTTACAAGGTGCTTTTGATCTCCTGGCTTACAGCTGAGAAAGGTGAGGCCATGTTAAGGGATACACCCAAGTTCCCACAGCTGTGGCTGACTTGGAATTCCGACCAGCACCTGGGATTCCCAGGCCTGCGTTCTTCCCAGCAGACCCTAACACTGGCAATTTCCGGGCAGCCGCCATCATGGAAGGCTGTATGGAGGCAGCTATGCAGCCCTGGTCTGTCAGTGTCTACGACTAGAACATGTTACCCATCTTTGACTCATCTGCCTTAAGAACTCTTCCATCTAAATGTTAATATTTATCATTTACAGCCCGCCACTGCCCCCTTTCAAAGGTGAACACAGTAAAATTTATGACAGGTGCACTATCAGAACACAGAGGAGCATAAAAGCAGGAGGAGGTGTGATAGCCCATCCATCTGCTGGAGCAGCTCTTCCAGAGGCCTGAGTCACCTGGAGCATTCTGGCATGGGGCTGCGGCCAGGCGTCTTCCTCTTGGAGCTGCTGCTGCTTCTGGGACAAGGTAAGCATGCCTTTTGCTCAGAGAACAACCCATGGTTTAGCCCCGCTGGTGTCCCATGTTGCTTAGGCAAGGGACGTGCGAAAGGAGTGTGTGCTTTTGGTGAGATAAAGCACAAAGCGTACAGTTCAAGAATAAGAAGGCTGGTTTGCCTCCTGTGGAATGGGATGCAGAGGATGACTGCACAGGGTTACACGTCCGAAAGGCTGCCAGGACAGAGGCAGATCTTGGGATAGGAGAGAAGTGCAGTCGGGCAGCAGCACCATGGTACGAGAAAAAAAACCTGGATTCTATTTGTGCTGTGTGGCTTTGGGCAAGTTCTTCCACCTCTCTGGACCTTGATTTTTTTCATCCTTAGAAAGGAAATATTACTGCTACTACTACTAGGCACATTTTGATACTATTTAATGCACATTTAATACTGTTACTATTTATGACCTTTTTTTTTTTGCTGAAGGACAAAGGAAGACAGATTTCTGGAAGATAAATTCTAAAAGATTGCCTACATTCTTTAGTGCTACGAAACAGAGTGCTGAACTTTCCCTTTGCTCTCCCTTTGCATAGGAAGGCAGACTCCTTTAAACTGAAAAGGGCCTTAAAGATGATCTTTCATCTTCTCCAGATGAGAGGATGGGGTCTAGGAGTGAGAAGGCACTTGCCCTTAACTCGCCAGAGAGAGAGGAGGAGCACGGGACAGAGTCCTGGGCCTGCCTAGGGTCTGAATCCAGGCTTGAGGCTCCTCTGGGGCAAGTCAGTGACTGCTCTGAGCTATAGGGGAGAATGGCGATGCTTGCTATGCCTTCAGAACAGGATGATTGTATTTCCTTGATTACTAATGAGGCCAAGGAGGGTTTTCATATTGATTGTTTGAGTTTCTCTTTTGTGACATGCCTGTTCAAGTCTTTTGCTTATTGATTTTTTAGGAGTTTCCATATATGCTGTACACTAGCTCTTTGGTGGTTACATCTATGACAGATATCTTCTGCCACCCTGAAGCTTGTCCTACTCTATGGGGACTTTTGATAAGCAAAATTCTTAATTTTGTGTAAATAAATGAAGACCACCCAAATGAGGACAAACAGAGGCTATTTATTCAGAGCTTGCTGTAGCAAGACATAACTTATGTTTGGCCAAGATTCAAAGGCAGGCAGGGGAGTGGGAAAGCTTCACAGTGGAAAAAAAGGGAAATCTTCAGATCTGATCTGGTTGGAGGTCGTTGGTTTCAGGGAGCTGGGGACCAGCTGAGTAGAGGCAGGGCATCTGAAGTTATCCAGTTGGGAGTTTATCTGGCTTTCTCTGAGTGGTCCTGAGTTGGAAGCAGAGCAAAAAATGGAGAAGATGGCAGTCATTAACCAAACCTGACCATTCTGGGCTGATTGCTGCAGAGGCTGCAGTTCGGTTGTCTGGGCTGGCCGATTGCCGACTGTGGCTCAGAGTTCTGTTATCATATGTAGTCCCACCATTTCCATTTGTATATTCTCTATTTTTTTTTTGAGACAGAGTCTGGCTCTGTCACCCAGGCTGAAGTGCAGTGGCTTGGTTTCGGCTTACTGCAACCTCTGCCCCCCAGGTTCAAGCGATTCTCCTGCCTCAGCCTCCGGAGTAGCTGGGATTATAGATGCCTGCCACAATGCCTGGCTAATTTTTGTATTTTTAGTAGAGACGGGGTTTCACCATGTTGGCCAGGCTGGTCTCAAACTCCTGATCTTAAGTGATCCGCCTGCCTCGGCCTCCCAAAGTGCTGGGATTCCAGGCATGAGCCACCGTGACCAGGCTTTATTCTTAAGTATATGTATTTTAAATCTTCCTTTATGGTTTGTGCTCTTTGTATCTTAAAGAACTGCTTTCCTATCTCAAGGTCATGAAGATACCCTATAATTCCTTCTAGAAGCTTTATAAATTTACTTTTCTCATTTAAGTCAATCCCCCTACATTTGGGATTGACTTTTATAAATAGTATATGAGAGGAACCCAATGTTGTCATTATTATTTCTTTTTGAGATAGAGTCTCACTCTGTCGCCTAGGCTGGAAGGCAGTGGTGCAGTTATGGCTCATTGTAGCCTCAACCTCCCAGACTCAAGTAATCCTCCCACCTCAGCCTCCCAAGTACCTGGGACCACACACCCACTCAGGTTATATCATCAAAATATTGTGTTCAGGCACATGCCACCACGCCTGGCTGATTTTAGTATTTTTTGTAGAGAAGGAGTTTCACCATGTTGCCCAAGCTAGTCTCGAACTTCTGGGCTCAAGCAATCCTCCTGTCTTGGACTCCCAAAGCATTGGGATTACAGGTATGAGTCACCACGTCCAGCCCCTCATTTTTTTTAAATGCAGATACCCAATTGTCTCAGTACCATTTATTGAAAAATCAGTTGTTTCCCTACCACTGTGAAGGGCTGCCTCTGTACATTAAAGATTCGTGCATGTTTCCGTCTGTCAGTACTCTTTTTTGCTCTATTAGTCCATTTATCAGTCTCAGGGCCAATAACACATTGTCTTAATTTTGTAGCTTTATATTAACTTCTGTTTTTGAGAAAAGAAGTCTTCCTATTTTTTCTTCTTCAGAAATGCCTTGGCTTTGAATTTCCGTGTAGATGGTACTATCAGCTTGGCAATTTCCACTGGAGAAAACCTGTTGGGATTTTGATAGAGATTGCTTTGAATTCTATGAATCAAGTTGGGGAAAATACACATCTTTACAATATTGAGTCTTTCAAGCCATGACTATGTATTTAGATCTTTAACGCCTCTCAGAGTTTTCTCTGTTGCAGGCATGGACGTATTTTGTTAAATTTATTCACAGGTTTAGATATTTTTGTTGTGTGGCAAGTGGGTTTTTAAATTTTAGTTTGAAAATGTTTGTTATTGTAAATTTTTATTCTGAAAGTGTTTGTTATCGTAAATTTTTATTTTGAAAATGTTTGTTATTAATATATAGAAATAAAATGAATTTTTGTGTTGATTTTGAACTCAACTAAACTTATAAATTGTAATAATGTATCTGTATATTCTTCTGGGTTTTCTATTAGGTTGATGCAAAAGTGATTGCTGTTTTGCCATTACTTGTAATACTACTTAATGCTCCCACCAGAAGAGCTAATGCACATAGCATTGTTCCAATTGACCTTTTAAAAAATAAAATAGGGGGCGGAGCAAGATGGCCGAATAGGAACA